AGTGCATCGTGAGTCCCCTAATAATATAGAATCTAATTTGTGCGCAAATCCCAATTCCTGCCCCCCCTTACTGCGATACGCAGGAAGAACACCATAAAAATCGGCAGGCTAACTGTCATTGCGACAGTTTCCTTAAGTAGCTAGACGTCCAAATCCAAATTTCCGATACGCCACCAAAATGCCGGAAGGTCACAAACGGGGATAGAGACTTAACTGCAGTGCTCAATCGCCCAGTCCACTGTAGCTAGTAGCAAGCAGTACCAAGCAGACCTCGCCTATGCAAACAGCGTGCACTATGGGCGCTCAGTCAACAACAACAGCTAACGAGGTAAAGACACAATAATCTCGCCTAGCGCCACCCAGGTATGAAACTTATAAGACTAGTTAGCCCACACCTGTCACTTCATGAGAAAATGTTAAGGTAGCATTCGATGGAAAATTGAGAAATACTGTGATACAGTGCACAAAGTATGCCCCCTCCCCAGATATGTCTGAGAATGGTACGCTATTCACAGAAAGAGAGACACCTTTTTGGGATTCATTAGCAGTTATATAACTCAGAAGTGTCCTGACTAACATCAGAAAACACAGTCACAGCCAGTTACCACTTTGAATGATTTGTAATTAGCAGAGGCCACTGAAACGGTGGGTACATCGAACGGAGGCAAAGAGCACTACCTTAATTGTCACCTTGAAACTAATTTAGGGCTGATTAAAAAAAGCTGTAGCAAATCCTACCTTGATGACATATTTGCAGATGAGTTTGGTGTCATCCACGGCGTCCAGAAGGCCCATCAGGAAGAGGTGGCCGTGCTCGTCATAGGCCAGGGAGGCCACGAAGGTCTTCAGTGAGCGGACCAGCGTCTTGCGATCTTTGGGCGGGCAAAGCCAGAGCACAGCGAGGGCAGCCCGAACGCCCTCCCGTGTGTGCAGCATGGACACTATTTGGGCCTCGAGGAGGGTCTCGAGCAGGGTCTGGAGACTTTCTTCGCGTGCAGCCTTCCCCTTCTTCTTCCCGTCCTCCTCCTCCTCCCCGTCTTCCGCGACCTCTCCGGTGCCATCGGCCGATGCATCCTCCAGGTTGGGCACAAGAGAAGTGGATTCCTGCTTTGGTGGCGGCTGTTGCTGTTCTGCCGTGGGGTCCTGCGGCTCTGTCGTTGGGTCCTGTTCTGTCTTCGGATGATTTTGATGCTCTTGATGCGTCTGTAGGGATTCTGGAGACTTGAGGACGGCCGTCAAATACTCCAACAGGAGGTGTTGTATGATTGTCAGTCTGACGAGACCTCTGTAGAATAAAGGGTTAAAAGCAAATTGTCATCAAGCTTGCACGTTCTCACGTATGCTTTCTCACATCCATTAAACAGTAACTTAGCTACAGTAGTCGCCGGTTATTAAGCCCACGGTTAATAGGCCCAGCCGCGTA